ACACACAGTGAGACACAGGGTGAGACACACAGTGAGACACACAGTGAGACACACAGTGAGACACACGGTGAGACACACAGTGAGACACACAGTGAGACACAGAGTGAGACACACAGTGAGACACACGGTGAGACACACAGTGAGACACACAGTGAGACACACGGTGAGACACACAGTGAGACAGGGTGAGACACGGTGAGACACACGGTGAGACACACAGTGAGACACAGGGTGAGACACACGGTGAGACACACAGTGAGACACACAGTGAGACACACAGTGAGACACACAGTGAGACACAGGGTGAGACACACAGTGAGACACACAGTGAGACACACAGTGAGACACACAGTGAGACACACGGTGAGACACACAGTGAGACACACGGTGAGACACAGGGTGAGACACACGGTGAGACACAGGGTGAGACACACAGTGAGACACACAGTGAGACACACGGTGAGACACACAGTGAGACACAGGGTGAGACACACAGTGAGACACAGGGTGAGACACAGGGTGAGACACACAGTGAGACACACAGTGAGACACACAGTGAGACACACGGTGAGACACACAGTGAGACACACAGTGAGACACACAGTGAGACACAGGGTGAGACACACGGTGAGACACACAGTGAGACACACAGTGAGACACAGGGTGAGACACACAGTGAGACACACAGTGAGACACAGGGTGAGACACACAGTGAGACACACGGTGAGACACAGGGTGAGACACACGGTGAGACACACAGTGAGACACACGGTGAGACACACAGTGAGACACACAGTGAGACACACAGTGAGACACACAGTGAGACACACAGTGAGACACACGGTGAGACACACGGTGAGACACACGGTGAGACACACGGTGAGACACACAGTGAGACACACAGTGAGACACACGGTGAGACACACAGTGAGACACACAGTGAGACACACGGTGAGACACAGAGTGAGACACACGGTGAGACACACGGTGAGACACAGGGTGAGACACACAGTGAGACACAGGGTGAGACACACAGTGAGACACACAGTGAGACACACAGTGAGACACACGGTGAGACACACAGTGAGACACAGTGAGACACAGGGTGAGACACACAGTGAGACACACAGTGAGACACAGGGTGAGACACACAGTGAGACACACGGTGAGACACAGGGTGAGACACAGAGTGAGACACACAGTGAGACACACGGTGAGACACACAGTGAGACACACAGTGAGACACACAGTGAGACACACGGTGAGACACACAGTGAGACACACGGTGAGACACAGGGTGAGACACAGGGTGAGACACACAGTGAGACACACAGTGAGACACACAGTGAGACACACGGTGAGACACACAGTGAGACACACAGTGAGACACAGGGTGAGACACAGGGTGAGACACACAGTGAGACACACAGTGAGACACACAGTGAGACACACAGTGAGACACAGGGTGAGACACACAGTGAGACACACGGTGAGACACAGGGTGAGACACACAGTGAGACACACAGTGAGACACACAGTGAGACACACAGTGAGACACACAGTGAGACACACAGTGAGACACACAGTGAGACACACGGTGAGACACACAGTGAGACACACAGTGAGACACACGGTGAGACACACGGTGAGACACACAGTGAGACACACGGTGAGACACACAGTGAGACACAGAGTGAGACACACAGTGAGACACACGGTGAGACACACAGTGAGACACACGGTGAGACACACAGTGAGACACACAGTGAGACACACAGTGAGACACACAGGGTGAGACACACAGTGAGACACACAGTGAGACACAGGGTGAGACACACAGTGAGACACACGGTGAGACACACAGTGAGACACACAGTGAGACACAGGGTGAGACACACAGTGAGACACACGGTGAGACACACGGTGAGACACACAGTGAGACACACAGTGAGACACAGGGTGAGACACAGAGTGAGACACACGGTGAGACACACGGTGAGACACACAGTGAGACACACAGTGAGACACACAGTGAGACACACAGTGAGACACACAGTGAGACACAGGGTGAGACACACAGTGAGACACACAGTGAGACACACAGTGAGACACACAGTGAGACACACAGTGAGACACACAGTGAGACACACGGTGAGACACACGGTGAGACACACAGTGAGACACACGGTGAGACACACGGTGAGACACACAGTGAGACACACGGTGAGACACACGGTGAGACACACGGTGAGACACACAGTGAGACACACAGTGAGACACACGGTGAGACACACGGTGAGACACACAGTGAGACACACGGTGAGACACACAGTGAGACACACGGTGAGACACACAGTGAGACACACGGTGAGACACACAGTGAGACACACGGTGAGACACACAGTGAGACACACGGTGAGACACACAGTGAGACACACAGTGAGACACACAGTGAGACACACAGTGAGACACACAGTGAGACACAGGGTGTCTCCCCCCGTGTCTCCCCGTGTCTCCCCGTGTCTCCCCGTGTCTCCCCGTGTCTCCCCGTGTCTCCCCCGTGTCTCCCCGTGTCTCCCCCCGTGTCTCCCCGTGTCTCCCCCGTGTCTCCCCCGTGTCTCCCCCGTGTCTCCCCGTGTCTCCCCGTGTCTCCCCGTGTCTCCCCCGTGTCTCCCCGTGTCTCCCCCCGTGTCTCCCCGTGTCTCCCCGTGTCTCCCCCGTGTCTCCCCGTGTCTCTGCCCGTGTCTCCCCCGTGTCTCCCCATGTCTCCCCGTGTCTCTCCCCGTGTCTCCCCCGTGTCTCCCCGTGTCTCCCCGTGTCTCTCACCGTGTCTCCCCCGTGTCTCCCCGTGTCTCCTCCGTGTCTCCCCGTGTCTCCCCGTGTCTCCCCCGTGTCTCCCCGTGTCTCCCCCGTGTCTCCCCGTGTCTCCCCCGTGTCTCCCCCGTGTCTCCCCGTGTCTCCCCGTGTCTCCCCGTGTCTCCCCGAGTCTCCCCGTGTCTCACCGTGTCTCCCCGTGTCTCCCCGTGTCTCACCGTGTCTCCCCCGTGTCTCCCCGTGTCTCCCCCGTGTCTCCCCGTGTCTCCCCCGTGTCTCCCCCGTGTCTCCCCGTGTCTCCCCCGTGTCTCCCCGTGTCTCCCCCGTGTCTCCCCCGTGTCTCCCCGTGTCCCCCCGTGTCTCCCCGTGTCTCCCCCGTGTCTCCCCCGTGTCTCCCCGTGTCTCCCCAGTGTCTCTCCGTGTCTCACCGTGTCTCCCCGTGTCTCCCCCGTGTCTCCCCGTGTCTGCCCCGTGTCTCCCCCTGTCTCACCGTGTCTCCCCGTGTCTCCCCGTGTCTCCCCCGTGTCTCCCCCGTGTCTCCCCGTGTCTCCCCCGTGTCTCCCCCGTGTCTCACCGTGTCTCCCCCGTGTCTCCCCCGTGTCTCCCCGTGTCTCCCCCGTGTCTCCCCGTGTCTCCCCGTGTCTCCCCCGTGTCTCCCCGCGTCTCCCCATGTCTCCCCGTGTCTCACCGTGTCTCTCCCCGTGTCTCCCCGTGTCTCCCCCGTGTCTCCCCGTGTCTCCCCCGTGTCTCCCCCGTGTCTCCCCGTGTCTCCCCCGTGTCTCCCCCGTGTCTCCCCCGTGTCTCACCGTGTCTCACCGTGTCTCCCCCGTGTCTCCCCCGTGTCTCCCCGTGTCTCCCCCGTGTCTCCCCGTGTCTCCCCCGTGTCTGCCCCGTGTCTCCCCGTGTCTCCCCGTGTCTCCCCGTGTCTCCCCGTGTCTCCCCCGTGTCTCACCCCGTGTCTCCCCGTGTCTCCCCGTGTCTCCCCGTGTCTCCCCCGTGTCTCCCCCGTGTCTCCCCCGTGTCTCCCCGTGTCTGCCCGTGTCTCCCCGTGTCTCCCCGTGTCTCCCCCGTGTCTCCCCCGTGTCTCCCCCGTGTCTCCCCCGTGTCTCCCCCGTGTCTCCCCGTGTCTCCCCGTGTCTCCCCGTGTCTCCCCCGTGTCTCCCCGTGTCTCCCCCGTGTCTCCCCCGTGTCTCCCCGTGTCTCCCCGTGTCTCCCCCGTGTCTCCCCCGTGTCTCCCCCGTGTCTCACCGTGTCTCCCCCGTGTCTCCCCCGTGTCTCCCCGTGTCTCCCCCGTGTCTCCCCGTGTCTCCCCCGTGTCTGCCCCGTGTCTCCCCCGTGTCTCCCCGTGTCTCCCCGTGTCTCCCCGTGTCTCCCCCGTGTCTCACCCCGTGTCTCCCCGTGTCTCCCCGTGTCTCCCCGTGTCTCCCCCGTGTCTCCCCCGTGTCTCCCCCGTGTCTCCCCGTGTCTCCCCGTGTCTCCCCGTGTCTCCCCGTGTCTCCCCCGTGTCTCCCCCGTGTCTCCCCGTGTCTCCCCCGTGTCTCCCCCGTGTCTCCCCCGTGTCTCACCGTGTCTCCCCCGTGTCTCCCCCGTGTCTCCCCGTGTCTCCCCCGTGTCTCCCCGTGTCTCCCCCGTGTCTCCCCCGTGTCTCCCCGTGTCTCCCCCGTGTCTCCCCGTGTCTCCCCGTGTCTCCCCGTGTCTCCCCCGTGTCTCCCCGCGTCTCCCCATGTCTCCCCGTGTCTCACCGTGTCTCTCCCCGTGTCTCCCCGTGTCTCCCCCGTGTCTCCCCGTGTCTCCCCCGTGTCTCCCCCGTGTCTCCCCGTGTCTCCCCCGTGTCTCCCCCGTGTCTCCCCCGTGTCTCACCGTGTCTCACCGTGTCTCCCCCGTGTCTCCCCCGTGTCTCCCCGTGTCTCCCCCGTGTCTCCCCGTGTCTCCCCCGTGTCTGCCCCGTGTCTCCCCGTGTCTCCCCGTGTCTCCCCGTGTCTCCCCGTGTCTCCCCCGTGTCTCACCCCGTGTCTCCCCGTGTCTCCCCGTGTCTCCCCCGTGTCTCCCCCGTGTCTCCCCCGTGTCTCCCCGTGTCTCCCCGTGTCTCCCCGTGTCTCCCCGTGTCTCCCCCGTGTCTCCTCCTGTCTCCCCGTGTCTCCCCGTGTCTCCCCGTGTCTCCCCCGTGTCTCCCCCGTGTCTCCCAGGTGTCTCCTTTGAGCATTTCGAGGTGGAGACACCGTTCGTGACGTCTCCGTCTTCGGGAGACAGAGCGTCTGCAGACACGGACGAGACGACGGAGACACCGACAAGGTGGTCAGAGACACGGAGACACACGGAGACACAGTGAGACACACGGAGAGATACACAGAGACACAGAGACACACAGAGACACGGAGACACACGGAGACACACGGAGACACACGGAGACACAGAGACACACAGTGAGACACATAGTGAGACACACAGAGACACAGAGACACACAGAGAGACACACAATGAGACACACACAGAGACACGGAGACACACGGAGACACACGGAGACACACAGAGAGACACACAGAGAGACACAGTGAGACACACAGTGAGACACACAGAGACACAGAGACACACAGTGAGACACACACTGAGACACAGTGAGACACACAATGAGACACACACAGAGACACGGAGACACACGGAGACACACAGTGAGACACACAGTGAGACACACAGAGAGACACACAGTGAGACACACTGAGACACAGAGAGACACACAGTGAGACACACAGTGAGACACAGTGAGACACAGAGACACACAGTGAGACACACACTGAGACACAGTGAGACACACAGTGAGACACACACTGAGACACAGAGACACACAGTGAGACACACACAGAGACACGGAGACACACGGAGACACACGGAGACACACAGTGAGACACACAGAGACACAGAGACACACAGTGAGACACATAATGAGACACACAGAGACACAGAGACACACAGAGAGACACACAGTGAGCCACACAGTGAGACACAGTGAGACACACTGAGACACTGAGACACACAGTGAGACACAAAGAGAGAGACACTGAGACACTGAGACACACGGAGACACACAGTGAGACACACAGAGACACGGAGACACACGGAGACACACAGTGAGACACACTGAGACACACAGTGAGACACACTGAGACACTGAGACACACAGAGATACACAGAGACACAGAGACACACACAGAGACATGGAGATACACAGTGAGACACACATTGAGACACACTGAGACACAGAGAGACACAGAGAGACACACTGAGACACACAGTGAGACACAGTGATACACACTGAGACACACAGAGATACACAGATACACAAAGACACACAGTGAGACACACACAGAGACACGGAGACACACAGTGAGACACACACAGAGACACACAGTGAGACACACAGTGAGACATAAAGAGAGAGACACTGAGACACTGAGACACAGAGACACACAGTGAGACACAGAGAGACACGGAGACACAGAGAGACACACAGTGAGACACACGGAGAGACACACTGAGACACTGAGACACACAGAGATACACAGAGACACAGAGACACACAGAGACACACATGGAGACACACAGAGATACACAGATACACAAAGACACACAGTGAGACACACACAGAGACACGGAGACACACAGTGAGACACACACAGAGACACACAGTGAGACACACAGTGAGACACAGGGTGAGACACACAGTGAGACACACAGTGAGACACACTGTGAGACACACAGAGACACACGGAGACACACGGAGACACACAGTGAGACACACTGAGACACTGAGACACACAGAGATACACAGAGACACAGAGACACACAGAGACACACAGTGAGACACACAGTGAGACACACGGAGACACACGGAGACACACAGTGAAACACACAGTGAGACACACAGAGAGACACGCAGAGACACACACTGAGACACACACAGAGACACAGAGACACACAGAGAGACACGCAGAGACACACACTGAGACACGCAGAGACACACAGAGACACACACAGAGACACACAGTGAGACACAGTGAGACACACTGAGACACACAGAGATACACAGAGACACAGAGACACGCAGAGACACACAGTGAGACACACAGTGAGACACAGAGACACACAGTGAGACACAGAGACACACAGACACAGAGACACAGTGAAACACACAGAGACACACAGTGAGACACAGAGATACACAGAGACACAGAGACACTGAGACACACAGAGACACACAGAGAGACACGCAGAGACACACACAGAGACACACAGTGAGAGACACTGAGACACACAGAGACACACAGAGACACACAGTGAGACACACAGAGAGACACACAGAGAGACACGCAGAGACACACAGTGAGATACACTGAGACA